GCAGGTAGTCTTGGCAGGACGTGAATGCAAAGTTTGTACACCGTGTGGAGCACTTGGACTTTATCTTAAGGTAACAGGAATGCAAATCATAGATTTTGAGGAGGAAAGTGGCCTGACCTTTTTACGGATATTACTCTGTTAATGCAAGTAGGGTGGATGATCCCAGAATAAGGCTGGTAGAAAGAGGTATGAAGGCCTACTAGCAAACACCACAGGAGTAGTAAGGACGGGGAGATGAACGCTTGAACGGAGGTGGCAGCAGAGGGGGTAAGGAGGAGGGGTGGATGCGGAGGGCACTTCAGAAGTGGGGTTGAGGGGTATCGAAACTGAGTGAGGGCAGGAATCAGGGAGGAAGACAGGCCAGCAGGACTCCTGGGCTTCGTACTTTGTAGTGAAGACAGCGGCAAGGCAGACGGGCAAGGGAAGACAACTAGCCTGGGTTGGAGGGGGGGGGCTTGAGGTGCTCATGGTGCCCTGCAGGGGTGAGCAGGTTAAGACTGTGCAGTTAGACCTGTCCACTGGGTCAGGGGCAGAGAGCTCGAGGAACAGAAAGGAGGTGCAGGTCGTAGGGATTCTTTGGGGGTAGACAAGAAGTGGCACATGGGAATCAAGCAGATGCTGGCTGAACCAAGGGAGCAGGGGATGAGAAGAGGCCATCACAAGCCCCAGGAGTGAGCGTGCATTGATGCAAGGTAAATTAAGAATCACTCTAGGTTTCCAAGACATGTAAGAACAGAACCACAATACAAAGAGCATCGGAATAAAAAGAGCCCCAGATTGGACTTTTTTTTCCCCCCTCTAAAGTTAAATGTCTGGTTCTAGAACTGATTTCTGCATGACTTGGAGCAAATGACTCAACCTCTTGAGCCTCAGTTGTCTCCTGCAATTATGGAGGCAAGAAGCCTCCCGACAGGCCATCTGCAGTGGGAGACCCAGGAGATCTGCTGCTGTCTTTCAGTCCAAGTCCACGGGCCTGAGAACCGGTGGCGACGCCAATGCCCGAGGGCAGGAGAAGGTGGACGTCCCAGCTCACGCAGACACCACAGAGAAATGAGGCAGATGGCACAAGTCACCTCTATAGCGGATAAAGACCATGTTGGCAGAGACGGCCTTGGTGTGCAGCCACAGTGCGCTTCCTAAGGGGAAGACCGGAATCAGACTGACTCACCACCCCATTCTGGGTCGGTGGAAAACCATGGGCCTCTCACTCATGGGGTGACCTTCTGTAAAAGCCACGGGAAGGAGCAGACCCAGTGGGTGCCCTCTGCAGCAGAGAGAGGGAGTGGAAGCTGGGGTGCAGAGAGGCCACGAGTATTGGGAGCAGGGTTTCTGCTCCAAGAGAGAAGACCTCAGGAGTGCGGAGAAAGTGTCCCTCAATACCATATTCTAGGTCTTGTTTTCTCCTCGGCGTCTAGACACCACCACCCAGGCCATCCAGAGATGCTGGCCCCAGCCAGTGGGAACCCCAGCATGTGCTGCATGTCAGTGGCATTTCCCCCGGAGATGCTGGAGGGTCTTCAGCAGGACTCGCAGACGAGCCAAGAGCCATTTGGTCTGCACATCTTTGATGGTCGGTTCAGGGAATGATGAGTTGTTTGGCCATTTCCTGCAGGTCAACAACCCAACCAGGGAGCATGAAGGAAACCGACAGGCCCGGCGCTCCACTGAAGCCTCTCAGTACCCTGTCTAATATGAGTTAGGGGCAGCCAGTCAAACCACAGCCCTGAGTGAAGCCACAGACTGGAAAATGAGAGAAGAGTATGAAAGGTAACAGACGGGGAAGCCCAGTCTGGTTGGGGACCTGAGATGAGCCCAATGTGTCTGAAACAAGGAGGCAGAGGGGCCCCTGGGTGGCTCAGTCGTTAAAGCGTCTGCCTTTGGCTCAGGTCATGATCTCAGGGTCCTGGGATCAAGCCCCGCATCGGGCTCCCTGCTCAGTGGGGAGCCTGCTTCTCCCTCTGTCTGCCACTCCCCCTGCTTGTGCTCGCTCTCTCTGTCAAATAAATAAAATCTTTAAAAAAAAATGAAACAAGGAGACAGAAAAGACACAGACGAGAATGCTGACGGGCACGGAGCTTATTTTGGGGGGATGAAGATATAACTGTGATGACGTTTGGACAGGCCTTTGAATAAGCATAAAAACATTGAACTGTACACTTTAAGTGGGTGACTTGTATGGTACATGAGTCATACTTCAATGAAGATGTTAAAAAAAAAAAAAAACAGAGCTGGTGTGTTTTAGTGGATGGACTAGGAGAGGAGAGGCCAGAGTCCCAGGCCTCCCCTTGTTGGGCCAGTGGGTGTGCGCCCTTGGTCACTCTTGTGCCTCAGTTAGCTCCTCCAGTAGGTAAAGGACGTGGACAAATGGTCCGTAAGGTTCCCGTTTCCGTTTCCTGGAGCTCCTGTAACAAATGACCACAAATGCGGGTACTGAAAACCACAGAAACGTATTTTGTCACAGTCCTGGAAACCAGACGCCTGAAATCAGGTGGTGTGCTCCCTCCAGACGCTCTGAGGGAGAATCCATTCCTGGCCTTTTCCACACTTGATTCCTTGGCCTGTGGCCATGTCTCTCTGCTCTGTCTTCACATCTCCTTCTCTATTGTGTGTCTGTCTCTCTCGGAATTCCCTCCTCCTCTCTCTTACAAGGTGCATGTGGTTGTGTTTGGGACCCCCGAGGATAACCTAAGAGGAGTGCCTCCTCTCGAGATCCTTAGCAGAGTCACATCTTCTGTGCATAAGGTAACATCCACACGTCCCAGGGAATTGGCACAGATATCCCGGGGCTGGGGGATCTGTTCACAGCCCTTTGCAAGTTCACAGAGACTGGGGAGAACCAACTCACCCTATGTTGTCCCTCTTTCCCGTCTCTCTGTTTACCCTAGCTCTTATTTATTTTTTTTTCATATTTTAATTTTAATTTTTTTGACTGAGCCACCCAGGCGCCCCCCTAGCTCTTATTTAAAATAACCTACATTTGTATATAGTTTTAGGGTTTGAAAAGTTATTATGCATTTATACACTCATTTCAGTCCCATGGAAACCTATAAATTTTGCCTTACCACTATAATTCCATTTGTGAAGAGTAGATGGAGGCTCGGGGAGATTATGTTACCTGACCAAGGTCACAAGCACTGGAAAGAGCGAGTGCTGGGCTCCAACCTGAGTCCTCAAGCCACAACTCCTGTGGCTCCCACTGTCATCACCTGCCTGAATCCTGATGTGGCATAAAGAGGTTCTGAGACCCAGATGGAGGAGATGCATCTGGAGTACATTCAGTTCTCCCAATTCCTCCTGCGCTGCGAAGTACAAACACTGGATGTTTTATATAAAAACAACATAAGAAGACTCCGAAAGGTGGGAAGGAGAAGGCAAACTGACCGGGGACCTTGGAACCCAAGGATGGACGTAGCAGTGAGTTCTCTGGGTTTTCTTTTTGTCCCATACATGGTGGACTGGGTGCTGGAGAAACGACCCAGAAAGGCTTTTAGATAATAGTTGCCCTACTCTAGCCAAACGCCATGGAAAAACTTGTAGCCCCACACCCATCTTATAAGCAAAGACCAAGTGGGGATCCCAGGGTCCCACACTTGCCCAGCTGAAATGAGGTACCCTTCCCCATGCTCCACCCCAGGCTAGGGTAGTAACAGAGAAGACAGAGTGGGGATCTGGGACTCCCGTCCCTGCCCAGAGGTCATGTGCTCACCATTCACAGGTAACAAAGTGCCCTTTCCTGTCCTTGCCAGAGTGTCAGAGGAGGCCACCTTGGGGGGTCTGAGATCCCATATCCACCCAGTGGTGAGGAGTTACCTCTCTCCCCAACCCTCAGTTGATAAAGGAGCTTAAGCAGAGAACCCAGACCTTCACCACTGCCTGGCATTAATGAGGTGATACCCCCTAACCACAACGGGCATGATGTCAGAGGAATCCTGCTAAAACAGAAGATTTAAGTAAGATCCAGTGTCTCATAACACCTAAATGTCCAGCATACAGTCAAAATCATCCATCACACCAAGAACCAGGAAAATCTCAAATTAAAAAAAAAAAACATGCTTAATTGAAAATCAGCAGGTGCTAACACCAAGATGGGCAAATATTAGAATTACCTGACAAGGATATAAAAATCATAAAAATGCTTCAACAGGCAATTATAAATACACTTGAAACAAATAAAAAGTAGAAAATCTCAGTGAAGAAATTGATGATATAAAGGAGAACCAAATGGAAATTGTAGAACTGCAAAATATAATTACCAAAGTAAAAAACTCCAAGGTTGGGCTCACCCATAGAATGGAGGGGACAGAGGAAAAGAATCTGCGAACTCGAAGATATAACAAGCTGAACAACAGTAAGTGGGGTAAACAAAACAGACCTTCCTTCTCCCCTTGTGTTCTGTAAATCATGTCTGACCGTTGAAGCAAAAAGTATAACGTTGCTGGATGTAAATTTCAACATATATAGAGGAAATATTTAATAAAGTTGTCCTGCAAATGGATAAGGGAGGAAGCAGCTTGAGGAAGGTACGTTTTCTGCACCTGTCTCCAGCTGGTAGGATGTGGACACCATTAGTCTTCATGGTGACGGAGTAATTCTGCATCATGATTTCAGTGGTGGTTACAAGAATCTATGTGTATGATGAAATGCCGTAGAACTACACGCACACATTTGTTCCAATGTCTGTTCACTGGTTTTGATTTTGTGCTATAGTTACACACAATTAGCCATCGGGATACATGCATTCTCTGCTATCTCTGCAACTTCCTATATGTCTAAAATTATTTCAAAATGATTAGGAAATGATAGAAGGGGATTGAAGGGGCATCTTCACAAGCAATTGGGGATCCCTTTCCAATCTAGAGGCCAGGCGTGAAGGGAAGTGAGGCTCAGAGGATGGCGGTGTCTGGACTAGAACCAGTTCAGTTCAGACCCTAGCCTCACCCTCAAGTGACATCACAAAGCCTCAGATGCCCCGCCCCCCACCTGGAAGTTTTATCAATCAAGCCATCATCTGAGGACTGTATTTGTACTGGAAGCAGTTGTTCAGCATCGCTGAGCAAACTTCTCTGCCCGCTCAGTTAACATCCAAGGAAAATGGCGCCACGTGAGCAACGGGGTTGATAGATGTGGGACCGTAGCTCCACACCCAGTTTGAGGATATAACGAAGAGCTGCCTGGTTCTCTCGGTGTGTAGCCATTGGGGCAGTCTGTGCAGGCCACATAGCTCAGCTGTCTTTGAGAAACCTATGTCTTCCTCACAACTCCCAGCCTTCCTATGGGACAAGGGCACACTCACCACCACCATATCTGATCCTACTTACCTAGTAAAGGTTCTCTTCTTCTTTGCACTCTTGATGACCCTAGTCACTCTACTCATCCTGGTCTGGAAAGTAACCAAAGACAAAGGCAACAAGAACAGAGGGCCAGATCCAAGAAAGGAGGAAACTCTGCTGGCATGAAGATGGACAGTGCCTGCTGAGGACTCCATTGAGGAGAAGACCTGGAGGCTCAGGAGGCAGGGCCGTCCGGGAGCCTTCTCAGAGCCGGAGCCTGGGGAAGAAGGACTGCTCTGGTGCCACAGGTCCCCCAGTGCTGGAGCTCCCCTGCCTCCCTCCCTCCCCACCACCACGTCCGCTGTAATTCTCACTCATCTGGCCTTTCTCTGGCTGGTCCAGGCAGCCGGGTTTGAATGTCTTCTCTCTGTGGGTCTTCTCGACTGACATTATAAATGGCTCTTGATTTCGGCATTAACAGAGTAAAGAAACAAACACAGGGAGGATTAAAAAATTGATTACAAACCCCAAATTTTCCTTTCTGAATTGGGCATGTGTTGACTCTGGGATATTGAAATTATTGGGAGCTCACAGCATCTCTGATATATAATGATGCTATACCAGAAGCTCAGTTCCAGAAGATCCTTGAAATAGAACAGCTCACCTGCCCCCAAATACTAGGTAAAATGCTCCCTCCTCTTCACCTAATTCTGCTAATAAAAAAGTATTGCCTCTCAAAAAATGATGTGAAGCACCAAATACTTTTCTCTCTTCTCCCCCACTCTCCAACTTTGTGGGTTGGCAAACTTCAAAAATACCATATTCTAAAATAATAATTTCACTTTAAAAAATCTTTTCTGAGTTTGGAATAAATTAACTCCCTTTTCAAGTGAAATCCAAATTAAAGAGGCAGTGTTTTGGAAATCCATATTCTCACTCAGCCTTGGGTTACCCTAAGGAGCATTTGGCCATTTGCCTAGAAGGAATTAGTAGGGTTTTTTTTTTGGAGAAACACCTCTATGTCCAACCCCACTATTAACCTTTCCTCCTAGAGGAGTCCCATCATGGGTTCCCTTGTCTCCCCTCCACAGGCACTTGACCCTGGAGTCACAAGCTAAGAACCCCTTCCTCAAAAGCTTTTCCCATTGCTTAGAATCACGGGACTGCGTTCAGTCATCTCTGACAATTTGCTCCCCCCGCTCCGGGAATCTGGGCTGCATATTCTGCATCTCAGCCATAGGCACCAATACACTTCCACTTTAGCCTATAGAAATTAAGGAGCTTGGTCACCTGGTGCTGAGGAGAGGCCAGTATTGCTGCCAGACCCAGGGGGAGCCCACCCCTGTCAGCGAGTGTCCCCACCTGCTTCCTCCAGTGTCTGATGGTGGTGTGGTGTTTGTTTTGTGGTTCATCAACTCCAACAGAGACAGATCACAGCTGACCAGCAACAGGACGGAGAGCTTCATGGCCAAGGAAGATGTACCCCTCTCTCCTCTGCAGCATGGGCCCCTTTTTCAGAGGCCGGCTGGCATTCCTCTCCAGCTGGCTACCACACCCCTTCTCCATCCGGCTTGCCAGCGTGGGAAGTAGAGGGTGGGGTGGGCTGTTACCTTGAGTGTGCATGGTTTCCATGCTTCGCTTGTGGAGAAGGAGCGCAGAGTTGGCAGCAAGGTCCTCAGCACCCCAGCACTCGGCACATCTTTCTCTCCTGTCCTGCAGACGCCTGTATTTATCCATCAGATGTTTACTGAGCTCTTGCCGTGAATCAGGCTAGTCCTGGGTGCTGCTGGGGCTACAGGAGGAAGGGGCCCCATCTTCTCTCTTCTGGACCCTGTACGGCACAGTGAGCAAAAGATGCCCATGAAGTGATCACATAGGTTAAGTATAAACCGAGAAAGTGCTCTGGAAAAGAATTGGGCTTTATGGGGGCAGGTGTGGGGGCAGGTTTGGAAGGAGCCTGGCCCGGGCCGGGGAAGGCGCGTGGGGGGACAGCAGGCTGGCCGAGGCTGCAGAACGGGTGGAAGGTCTGCATGTGATGGGTGCAGGCAGGCAGCCCCTGTGCTCCAGAGGGAGATCAGCATGGGCGAAAGCCCATAACGGGGGGAGTTTGTTGTGTCCGTGGGACAGAAAGATGGTGGTTCTGGAGCACAGACAGCAAGCCCGAGAATGGGAAAAGGAAGAGCTGGAGACGCAGGTGGGAGTGGACCTCGCAAACCCTGCAGGGCGGTGCTCTGAGCCCTCTGAGGTTCCTTTGGTCAACAGCCAAGTGCATGTATTACCGGCCACTCCCTGGGGCCCTATGTCACCCTCCTCCCCAAACTCCTCACACTCCCCAAATCTGTTTTTACTGACAAACCGGCTGGGCTGCATTGTAAGCTTCTGGCCACCCGATGGCAGCAAAGGGCCAGCAAGCCCAGTCCTCGGGGCCAGCGGGCACAGGGACCCTCCCTTCCCCACTCAGAGCAGGATAGTGGACCCTTAGGGACGGCAACCACAACCTCCACAAAGACGGGAATCTCTTATCCTCAAGATCTCCTGGCTGGCAATTTCATCCTCTTTAAAACATACTATATAATGAGTGTCAATTATGTGCTGGCTCTTAACATAATGGAAATCTGTTCTGCCTAAGTACCCTGCAGACGGGACTCTGTCCCTTGCACAGATGGGAGGGAGAGGATCTGAAGCTCAGAGAGGCTGCTACCTGCCCAAAGCCTCACAGCAGAGCCGGACTACCGCCCCTCAGCCCTGCTTGGAGGTAGCCCTTCTTTCCCTATCAGAAGTTCCTGCACTAAAATGTCACCAGCGTGAGTATGTGTGGTTCCCTTGTGACTGGGGTGCCCTGCATCTTCCTCTTCCCTGCCACCTGCAGGGCGGTCTGTCTGCTGCCCCACCCCCTGGGCCTGTTGGGACCAAGCTAACAGGTACCAGCCACCACAAAGCATTCTGAGGGCAATGAGGACCAGAGGGAGGCGGCAGTGCGGGGGACTAGGAAGCTGCTCCCTCCTCCAGGGAGCTGCCAGTCCAGACGTGGCTGAGGACCTCCCTCCGGTCAGTAACAGTCTGGGCTGATTTCTGAGAAAGGCCGAGGATGGGTGCTAATGGAATGTTCCAGGCTTTCTGAAGCCAGAGGGGCCCCTGTGGGCTGGATCAATCAGGGAGGGCTCCCTGAAGCAGGTGACATGTTAGGGTACCAGACAGGATTTAGGATCAGAAGGAAGCACGTGACATGCGTGACAAGAGACAAGGGACAGTGAGCCAGCTGCATGATGCATGTAGGGGACACTGGGCAGTCAGGCCAAGAAAAGAGTATCAGCGGTGGTAAAGGCCTTGAATGCCAGACAAAGGTTGCCAGATCGGCTCTCGAGGAGCCGGGGAAGGCTCTCGACGAGGTGCAGGTGAGAGCAGGAAGAGACTGGGGGAAAAGGCTCCTTGAAATGCCCACTGAACACTAACTCTCCAGTCCCCAGTCCTCCCCTCTTCCGTGACTTCGTGAACCCTATCCCTTCCACCCGAAATGCCCTTCTGTAGGCCTTTCTCTGCTCAACAGTGTGTGGGAGCAGGGAGGGGTGTGGAATTCCCAGCCCCGGCTGAAAGCAAGTCAAAGGGACGGGGACCTGCAACCACAGCCTGGCCTCCTGCCCCCCACCCCACCCTCCTTGTCCCAGGGGCCAGAGGCTGAGTCCACGGCTGAACCCCGTGATACCACGGGTGGGAGTGGGCAGAGGCACCTCTTTTCTTGGAAAAATATAGAACCCAGAGCTGTCTTCCCAAGAGAAGGTGGGGGCAGAAGGAGACCCCGCTGGTCTTTCCCATTCCTGTAGATATTCTCACTGTTCCAGCCCCGTGACATGCTCACATGTGGCACACGGCCCGGGAGCTGCCCTGAGCTGGGTCAGGAAGGTCAGAGCCAGAGGGCCCTGGGCCATGGAGAAATCCACCCCCATCTTACAGAGGAGTCCCCGATGCCCAGAGGGGGTGAGTGGGGCGGGGGTCACCGCGGGCGAGCCTGGGCGCCTCCTAGCTCCACCACCTCTGCGCGCAGCCATGAGCTCATTAGTTAAGACAGTGACTCTCAGGGGCGCCTGGGGGGCTCAGTCGTTGGGCGTCTGCCTTCGGCTCAGGTCATGATCCCAGGGTCCTGGGATCGAGCCCCGCATCGGGCTCCCTGCTCCACGGGAAGCCTGCTTCTCCCTCTCCCACTCCCCCTGCTGTGTGCCCTCTCTCGCTGTGTCTCTCTCTGTTAAATAAATGAATAAAATCTTAAAAAAAAAAAAAAGACAGTGACTGTCAGAGTTCGGTCCTCGGGTCCCCAGGGGTCCCCCAAGACCCTTTCAGGACATCCACAAAGTTGAAAACTACGTCCATACAAACATTACGATGTTATTTGCCTTTTTATTTAAAAAAAAAATTTTTTTTTTTAAAGTAAGCACTACACCCAGCATGGGGCTCAAACTCAGGGCCCCCAGATGGAGAGTTGCACGCTTTTCCAGCTGAGCCAGCCGGGCGCCCCTGATTCTCCTTTCTTACTCCTATTCTTTCTCAGGTGCAGTTTGTGAGCAACTGTGATCTGTTCTCAAAGAAGCCAAGTGTCAAAGAGCTTTACAAAAGTGACACTGTTCTTCTCTCAAAATGTTTTTTCATATTAACATATAATGTTTATTATTGTTATTTTTAAATGAATTAATAAGTACTCTTTAAAGTTTATTGTTAGTTTCTAATAAGGCAGATATGGATACACATAACCCCGGTAAACAAAAGCCCCTGGGGGGTTCTGCATAATTTTTAAGAGTGTACAGGGATAATGGACTACAAAGTCTAAGAACCATGGATTTAAACTCTGCCTCTGTTTCCTTATCTGCCAAATGGACATTGCACTTACCTCGAAGGATCGTGTGACCCCTCAGGTCAAGTGTAGGATGCCTGCGCGGGGTGCCATGGTTACTTAGTAAGAGTTAAGGACAGGTGTTGGGTTTCTTGAGCCAGAACTCCCTCCAGCATCCCCTCAGGGCTGTCCTTGGCTGGCTGGGGGCTTGGAGAGCGGGGCTGAGATCTGGGGATGAAGCATCCTGGGCTGTGAAGGTGCTGAGCTGAGCTGCTGGAAGCCGAGGGTGAATTCTCAAAATCCTCTTCTGCGCCTGGCGCAGGTCCCTCAGGCAAGGTCACCGAGCAATGAATAACAATGCTACCAGATTGCCTGCTGGGGACAGGTGAGAGCCCAGACGGGTCCGTGCACCTGTTGGTCACCGCTCTCACCACCTGAGGGCAGCATCCCCTCGAGGAGAACAGCCGAGAGGGCTCAGGACACAAAATGAGCTCTTGGAGCTTCTCTGGAACCAGAAGTCACTTCAGTGTCTCCCCCGAAGCCTGTTTTAGGAGCTGTGACATTTCCCAACCCTAAGTAAGTAAGGGTGGCCGACTCAGCAGCGGAATGATAAACCAAGGATAAGGGAGCTCCAGCTACCAGCTTTCCTTCAAGTAAGAAGGATCTCAATGTTGCATTACCTCCCCAGGCCTGCATCCCCCCTTGAGCCTGTCTTCATTCTAAAGGAAGAGAGCCCTAGAAAAAGTCAGAGGAGGGACTCCTGGACCTACGTGATCACTAATTTTCTGTATAAATGAGCCTCAGTTTCCTTACCTGTGCCCATTTTGGAGGATTGTGGGCTCCAAGGGGGGAGGTATAAAGGATGTTTGTGAAGTCTGAAGTGCTGTGGGCCATTTAAGAATTTAACATCTCAGGGAGGA